TGGGAGTTGAAGTCCACTCATCTTAAAGTGGCCAAGTTTGGACAACACTGATCTAAACCCTGCATTTTTGGAAGACATGACAGTCGCTCAGTAAATCCCCAATATTCTGAGCAGAAGCTTAAACAAACTCGACTCAAATGTGTGACCGACCATTACTCTTACCTGAATCAGCTTCATACCATCTTCCTGCCGCTCATGCTTTCGTGTAATGCGGCCTCCAATTCCTCCATAGATGATATCTAGTTCAGGTCGTACTTCACAGACATGATCTAACAGCTTGATGAAGCCTTCATTTACAAGCACGTTCTGAAGGAGAGCCAAGAGCAAGATAACAAGTTTTGGAGTTAGAAAGAAGGGATCCCATCCCTTCCCATCCCATCCCATCCCCCACTTTTAGGCCTATTTACTGAATTGGTTCCCGTGAGGAATTAGCCCCTGAAATCATTTCAATGAGTCATTCTAGGTACAGTTGGATGAGTCAGCAGAAAAGAATGCTGGCAACTGCCCCCCTCACCCCCCCCCCAATTCTGTCCAGGAATGTGGCCAGCAAGGGGTGATGTGCTTACGGTTTCAATCAGGACATGTTAAGAAAAGCAATGGTAAATTTGTTTTTAAAGTTTGTTTTTAGCATATTTTAATTAATTAATATGTATCTATTTTAATTAATGTTTATTCTATTTTTACTGTAAACTGCCCAGAGTCACTTCACAGTGAGATGGGCGGTGACAAATTTGAAATATAAATAAATATAAATATAAATTCCCCAGTTTCATTTTTTTTTTTCTCCCACTAAGCATCATCTTCTGCCAGGAAAAGCAAGCACCCATCACTTCTTTTAACATGTGGCAGGACAGGGTCAGATCAGCATGAGTGACCTGCCTCTCAAGTGACAGATTACAAGTGTAGAAGCTCTAGTTCCGAACACGAGACTAGCACTCTTTGGAAAGAGCACTACATTTATGTTCTGGAATCGCCTGACTCACTGGCCATGAGTATGAAGAATGGGCAGGAGGAAAATAGAAGGAACTCTTGCTCCAACTTCAACTTGTACCCCTCTGCCATGCCTGTGGCCCATTAACTGGCCTCTTTTTGGATAAGGGTGTTTGGACATTAGTAGGCAAAATGGCACCGCCCGCATCCCAAAATAATAAAAGCAGTGAATGCTATGGCTGCACAGATCCCCTTGTTGGCAGACACAGCTGAAAACTTGCAATGCTCAACACAGCCAAGAGAACCGGATCACTTTAGATCAGTGTTTCTCAACCTTGTCAACTTTAAGATGCGTGGACTTCAACTCCCAGAATTCCCCAGCCAGCTTTAGATTGACCTTCAGTGCCGTGTAGAACTGTCTTTTCTCCAGAGAGTGTGAGTTCTGTTTTCTAACGTTAACACAGATGTAAACCATTGATTGATGACTAGAAGCCTCTTATGGATTTTTTGCGTAAACATGAAAAAAATGAACTTGTGATTTATGGTTTTGATGATTAGATAGGACAGATTATAGAAAGAAGAGTACGGTAATATGATGTAACTTTAGAGGGAGAGGCTAAATATATATTTGTACTTATAACTGCTATGAAGAATATCGGAAGCTACTTCTTTATATCTTTTTTCTTTCTTTTCTATTTTTCTTCACCTTTTTAAAATTTTCTTGCACTTTTTGCTTTTTCTTTGATTTCTTTCTTTTTCTTTCTTTTCCCTACTTTATATTAGCCTATGTTAGTTTTTATCTTGTTTAAAAGTTTCAGAAAAATTATGTATGTATGTATGTATATAAATACAGATGTAAACGTGTCTAATGCTTTTTCAAAAGAGCACATACCCATGCATAAAAGGAGCCTGGGTAAGATCTGATGAGTGTTTCAGAAAGAGACAGCTGCTTCTGTAGAAGCCAGGGGTCTGGTCAATCCTGCAGTCAAAGCCAAAATGGTACCCAGTGGTCTCACAGGGGGAAGGAGCATGTCCACAGCAGACTGAAGGGGCCAATACACACAGTAGAGATCCCATTCCTAATCATATTGTCAGCCAATCATCTATGAAGCATCCTTGATCAAGTCTGTGGCAAAAACTGTGTCAGAAGAGGGCACATCCTTATTTAAAAGTGGAAGTCAACTTTGAGCTTGAAGATGAGATTAGAGCAATAACAGGAGAACACAGCCTATAAAAAGAGTTACCAGAATGTGTTCTTGGTATCGACAGGTGAACTTTAGGATGAGCCCTCTGACAGAGCTCTGTTTATTTTCTGATTTTCAAACTGTGCACCCAAAAACTCTGGGTTCTGTAACTTGCACAAATCTACATATATACCACCAGTTTTCATAAGGTTCAGCCCATTTTTTCCTGTTTTGCACAATGTATTCTGGTTTGCCAATCACGGGAAGCTTTGCTGAGTCTTTCATACAAACATGCTTGCTAGCATATTCTTTTGAACAAAGTGGCATGCACTTCCAAACAAATATGCATGAGATCATCACTCTCAAATGTGTTTTTATGTCTCTCTTTTTGAAATTCACTTAGTATGTATGCAGTGAACTGCTCTTTTAATATACAATCCATTTCAAGGTCCTTCATTTAACTCAGGAAGCTGAAAAGCCATCAAGCTAATATTCCTCTGGTCATTCATACATGGGCTGTATTAGAAAAGGCAGCTAAAATCGTCCATGGAAAGCTTTAAGAGATTTCAATATTATCAAATTTGATGACTCTGTATTAGTATGATGGTGTGATTTGATTGACACACAAGATGCCTTTCAACTATGCCCTTGATAATAGGAGAGAGAGAGAGATGATTTTGTTTTTGACCGGAAATTTGATGGCACTATGGGTTCCCCTAAAATCTGATGAGAAACAGGAATCTGTTGAGATGTTAATGTCAGGAGTCTTCCCATCTTATATTTAGCCTGCACAGAGTGTAAGTAAATCTTATAGCACAGAAATGCTGTAAATGTTTATTTCTCTTCGGAAACAGAGTCTAGGGTGAGTGCTGCAACCTTTCATTTATCAAAAATTGGATGTGTGCACATAGCAATATATATTTCTGAACTTTCCCACTCCTAATTCATTCTTACTGAGATGTTGATTTCTTCCATTCTGGATCTTGAATTCTTCCTGATTGACGTGAGAAGAGCAATAGCGCCTTCTACTGTGAGGGGATTCTGGGACATCTGTGAGGAAAATAAATAATAATTTGGATCCTGAAATAATACCCTATAAATTATTTTAGTCCTGGAGCTAAAAGTAACCTGCACCTAGAGGCTTGGTTTTGTTCCAATTTTGATATAGGCTTGTTGCATGATTTTATACAATGCATGAGCTCATGAGCAAATTCTTGACCTGTTAAATGGAAATAACAGTGATTAGTAGCTAACTAGGCATTTGAAGAAGTAGAATGCATTGCTCAGTCATTGCCATGGATTGATGATATGATCAGGGAAAAGGATTTTTAGCAAGGATCTCTGGGGAGGCTGGAGCAAAAGAAACAGGGTACGGCTGCCTGGAAGAACTGTTGTGTTCAGCACAGTCAAACAACATCATTGTTCATTGTTTGTAACTCTGAACAGATTTCTATGGTGCTGCATCAGAAAGCAACAGTGGTTTCCCCTACTCTCATCTCCTTCTCAACAGCTTATTAATGGAAGTAGCCACTTCTTTATTACAATTTTTATTTATCAGAAGACATTGAAGCACTTTGCATTTTATTTTTTTTCTTAAATGTGCTAAATATAGTACTGTCTTAGCAGATGGCAGTGCCTGGCCAAACTTAGCTGGGCTGGGAAGTTAACCCAGGTCAAGGGGTGCTGGTGGTGGTGGTGCAAGCACTGTAACAGACATATAGATTACGTCATGTTCTATGCTTTTACTTATGGGGGAAAAATACCATCCTCTAAACCAAAGGAAAATGGTGGTGGTGGTGGATAAATGCAACTGTGCTTATTGCATTTCTGCTGCCCATATTCCTGACATAACAATGGGCCATCAAACAAGGAGCAGACAAATACTACAGGTGGTCCTTGTTTAGCGACCACAATTGGGACCAGCAACTTGGTTGCTGAATGATGCAGTTGCTAAGTGGAAAATCATGTGACTGCAACTGTGCTTACAATTTTACTCCAGCTTTCCTGTTTTCCAACTCCTCTGCCCTTTGGAATGCTCACGCCAGTACTGGGATAATTAACAAGAAGGGCATTAACGTTTGTATTTACATTCACTGGAGAGGAAGGGATGATGAAAGTAAGCAGGTACACAATGCGGAATACACATCAAAAGGAATTCCTTTTGATGTGTATTCCCCACTGTGTGACTGCTTACTCTGCGGGGGGTGGGGGGAGGAAAAAACAGGTCAGGCACAGGAGACACTGCTTGGAAAGATGGCTTGTTTAAGCCATCTCTTTGCTCTGCGATGGAGAAAAAAATGGGTCAGGGACAGGACAATGCATACTGACTGACTGTAATGGTGAACATGCGACTGAGACGGAGACGCTGCAAAAGGTGCTAAATGCCCGCCTTGGTCACAAAGTTATTTTTTCAGCACTGTCATAATGGTTGAACTGTTGCTGTCGATCAACGAGGTCTACCTGTAGTCAAGGCTTTCTTTGTGTGTGTGATCAGTTGCAACCCAATCTCAGACAAAAGCTGTAAGAATGACCCCTTTCAGCCCCTCAATTCATAAAGCAGCAACATCTTCATCTGACAGATCTTCCTTGCGTTCACCTTTCTTACTCTCTTTGCTACTTTAACTGATCTGAAATCAGTCTCTGCAGCCCTGAGGTCTAGAAACAGGAAAACAAACGACACTTGGACCTTTTCAGATTCTACGGTGAGCTGCGTAGCTCTGTCAGTGCTGTAAATAGCTCGCTAGGGCCATAATACTGGCAGCCTGTGGGTTCGTCTGACTGGTAGGCCAGCTCAGAATAGGGCATCTCACCTTTAGGATTCTAAGGTTCCCATTCATTTCTAATCCTTTGCATAGCTTTGTTGCCCCTTCGTTGTTGATATGATTGTTGCTGATATCCAGTTCCGTGAGCACGTTGTTGACCTTGAGAGCTTCTCCAAGGGCGAAGGCGCCTTCATTCCCAAACCCATTCCAGGAAAGGTTCAGTATCTTCAAGGTTCCATTAACCTCCAGAAAAAAGAGAGGATAGAATCAACTTTCATCTGTGACTTTATGTATGTCTTTAAAAAATATTTTAATCTTTTAAACTATTTTCAGCTCTGAAATTAGAAATGAAAGCAATTCGGATGAAGAGAACTCTGAGCATGTTTTCAATCAACAAGCATATAGCTCAGTGTTTCTCAACCTTGGGAACTTTAAGATGTGTGGACTTCAACTCCCAGAATACCCCAGCCAACTCCAATTCTGGGAGTTGAAGTCCACACATCTTAAAGTTCCCAAGGTTGAGAAACACTGATATAGTTTGAAGGCTTTACTTTCCCAACACTTTTTTCCACACAGAGACCAACTAGATGACTTTGGGAATCTCACAGCAGGACTAGGATGTGTTACATCTCCTGATAGTATTCCAGATGATATTGAGGAATGCCTGCATAATGACTGCAGTGATTCATGGATGACGTTGTTGCCTCTTAAATTTTCCAGAATGCTGCTAAGTGCTTGATATAGTTTTTCACTCACAGGTGCTGAAAATGTAAATTTAAAAATAGCGTGGCTTATAAAGCCAGTGGTACAACATGAAAGGCTGAAACAGACCTTGGGCATGGTGCCCAGTCAGGAACCTGGACACATCTCCCAATAATTATCTCTCAATAATAGAAATCAATAATAATAGAAATCAATAGAAAACTCAAGATGCCACTTAGCTAGAGTTGTGTTTGGAACCACCTAGTGACTTAACTATATAATAATACAATATAATAATATATGCTGTCTGGTGCTGGGGTGGGATGGAACTGTTTATAATGGCAGCAACATACTTTCCTCTTCTGTAAGTGACATATTGTCCTTCAGCTGAATTAAGCAGCCATTTAGGTAGCCTGTAGTGCATGATGCAGTTCTACAGCTGAAACTAATCAGGTTTAGCCTTTACCAGCATCTGGAGGAATTTATTCATATGGAATCATAGGCCAGTTGCTTTATGCTCTTTGGAGCTAATGTGGCATAAAAGTTTAACAAAACTTAAAATAAAAATCAATATGTGGTTACTGAAATCTCACTGACAACTCTGATGCTGTGTAGCTTTCAAGCTCTTTCTCTGAATTAGGATTTTTAAAGAATTGGTATGTAACCTTGAAAGGGTAGGGCAGTCATCTCAACTTGGAATAAGGAGCCAAGAAGTCCCAACCTTTTTGGGCTAGTGAGCACATCTGGAATCTTGAGAGCATTATGGGCACAAACTGGCTGTTGTTGGTGGACATGGCCAATGACAAAACATCTGCTCTCTGAGCTTCCCAGGATGTTCTCCACCACATATCTTTCTCTTCTTTCTGGGCAGGTGAGCACACTTCTAAACAAAGCACAAGTAACAGCCACCTACCATCTAATTTCCTAGAATCCTACTCAGGTCTGTATGTTTTTTCACAAAGGGCTTTGATGTGATCCTTAGAGATGCTAAGCTCTCCCAGTTCTCACACTAGCATACCCAATTTTGGAAACCAATTTTCTTGTGGCTTGCCCAGCCAAAATATCAAATTTCTGCTTTGTAATTTCATTTGGTTGAGCACCACAGGACCAGGGGCAGGGAGCTTTTCCATTGGGGGGAATTCCTGTCAATTCCTGACTCTATGTCAACAGTGAAGGCCTCATGATATCATAGTTTTCTTGCACCAGACCTCTTCCTTATGAGCAAACACAGTGATGCAAGGATTGGGCTGGGCATGAAGAGTACAGGAGGTTTGTTTTCAGCTCTCATTCACAGATATTATAGAGGGGATGGAAGTTGGCTCTGGCCATTCCAGCAATAACTGAAATCAAGACTGTTGCACTCCATTGAAGGAATGGCTCTGAGGATTTGGAGAGTGTTGAGAAGGGTAACACTGGCCACGTGGAAGTGCCCTGTGTGACAGCCAGAGGCATTGTTGGAAACAGATTACGATTCAGGCAAGAACTTAGTTTGAAATTCCCTATCTTCCCCTTATTTATTTTTTAAATTAAGAAATTGTATAAAATCAGATGGGGCAGGGGGACTGGAAATTCTGGGGAAGTAGTCCAACACAGCTCCAAGTTGGGAAAGGTTGGGAAAGATGATCTTATTGCAGGTGTGCTTGAACCAGATGTTTTGTCTGATCTACACAATCTGAAAGGGTAATGAGAGATGCAGACTAAATTTGGGATAGACATAGTCACTTAGTTATGGTGGTGCTTTATAAAAAATGCCAATTCTGAATGAATGGCTGTTTCACTGCCAGCTTCCAAAGCATCTCCTGTTTTAAAATATTCAAGATTCTTTGTGAATAAGGGTCTCTGCTTGTTGCTAATCTCACCATAGGCTTGTTCTGTCTTTGTTGCTTCAGTATCATACTCAACCTTGCCTTGCTCCAGGCCTGATCTCAAGACACGTGGAGCAGCCAGTCTGGCAGATTCTCACCTTGAGACCAGCACTCAGAGCTGTAGCGCCCTTCAGCCGCAGATGATTCCAGCTCAGATTCAGAATCTCCAGTGATTCATTGTTGGCTGAAGAAAAGGCACACAAACACTTATGTATATGTGCATTTTTGCAAGCTGTCCAGAGCTTGTGACATATAAATAATAAGTAAAATAAATGATAACATCTAGGGAGGAATGGAATCCCCTTTCCCTAGATACGTTTAAGCAGGGGTTAGACATCTGTCAAGGATGCTTTCATTTCTATCCCTGTACTGAGCACTTGTCCTGGAGTCAGTGGACATAATGACTCTCATTATGTCCATTAAGTCATTATGTCCATTACATTATTATATTATATATTATATTATATTAAGTCATGATTATGTCCATTAAGTCATTATTATTAAGTCATTATTAAGTCATTATGTCATTAAGACTCCACTCTCATGGCCTTCAGGAACAGCATGAAATCCTGGCTATGCCAGATGGCCTGGGGGCCGCATGGGGGCTCACACCAAT